TTGATCTTTTTTTTCCACTAGATAATTCAAATTATAAACATTAAAAATATAATTAGAGGCAAGAAATGATGAACTATTTGAAAACATTAATCAATCAAACTCCAAACAATATGAAATGGCGAAGGGCAAAAAGTGTCCAACTCCACAAAGTCCACTTCAACTTTTCATCTTTAAACAACTTATTATTTTATATGTGAAAAAATGTCTTGTTTTGATTATAAGGGAAGCGTATACGTCATATGTATTGATTAGATATCAAGTCCAATATTGTTTAATTAATTTGTAGTTGATATGTTTAATTAATTAAGGACCCAAGTAATTTCTCTAAAATGAAAGACATCAAATATATATTTATGATTATATATATATATATATATATATAAACAATGACATTAGATGTCAAATTATTGCATTTGACTTTTGAGAAAGAAAAAAAATGTTAAGTGGGCAGGCCATGGGCAGGCCCGATCCATTGGACCTCTTTTTTTGATCCCGGCCTGGCCCAAGTTTTCATGCCATACCGAGCACGGCCCATTAATATTCGTGCTCGTACCGTGCCGTGCCGTGCCGTGCCTCATTTAAACGGGCTGGGCTCTTGCAGTGCTGGGCCGACCCGTCCTGTTTGACACCTCTACTACCAAGTAGGTTTTCATAGAGAATCTGAAAAGAAAAAATATATGTTGGCATACCCATACGCATGCCTCTCTCTCTCTCTCTCTCTCTCTCTCTCTTGTTTTTTTAGTCTTTGGGTGTGGCTTGGGGCAGGGATGATGACTAAAGAATTCGTATTCCTGCCACTCCAATGCCATACCCATTACTTTTAGTTATTTTATTTTTTTATGAGCACTTTTAATTTTGTTTTGCATATCATATACATATATATATGCGCTAATATAATTTTTTTTTAATGCCCTTCTCAATCGTGGGCCCGGGCGGTGGCCCTAGTTGCCATGGTCAAGGGCCGGCCCTGCTAATGAGCAGCTTGTTTTCTTCTTATGGATCATCATGCCTTTGATTGTTGCAAGAAAGTGGATCTGTCGAGCGTGTCAAAAGCAATGGCGGTTCTACAGCTTGCCTACCCAAATTTTTTCACACAAAAAAAAAAAAAAAAAAAAAAAAAAAAAAAAAAAAACTTATATGTAAGCAAAGCTAATCCTACCCACCCCATGTAATGGTGTGAACCCATGCCTACCCAAACTTAAAAGCAACCCACGTGTTACATGGCCGAGTCAAACTTAAAAAAAGAAAAGGGGGGAAAGCAATATAAGCAAGCAGCCAATTCCCTTTCGGCTGTGCAATAGTCGACAGTCCCAAATCATTCTTTTGCAGCTTCTTCCTGAGTCTGGACATTCTCTCTTGGTAGCATTTTCTCATATCTAAGGTCAATAAGTATTCTTCTATTGGCTTTTTCCTAAAATAAATGTATGCATCCTAAGTTTTTTAATAGTTTAATTTAGTTTTAGATTTAAATAGTTTATTTTTTGTTGCATTACATTAATTTTCTTTTTAGTTTTTTTTTTTTAAATTAAGTTTTTATATCTGAGGGTAAATCTCATTACACTCTCCCCGACTAAATGTATTTTTTTATTTTTATGAATGAAATTCACTTGTACTATCAAGTTTTTAAGATAAATTTCGCCTACCTGACTTTTGAATCATGAATTCACCACTAGTCAAAAGCTTTGCAAATTGACTTCGGAAGAAACTTGACAGAGCAGCGACAATTGCCGGTGTAGCCCTAGCCTTGGCCTTCTTCGATGGCGTGGGTGGGAACATATCTGCCAATAAGCTGTGTGTGTATAAAATGGTCTAGAGTTAACTTTGTTATATATATCTGTGAGTCAGTCCGTACAAATGCGCTGTTAAATGATGATGTGGCCATCAATGGTCCCACATGAACTGAAAAAAAAATTTGAAAAAACAAAAAACTTCCTCCAGCACCATCTCCCGCTCCCAAGCCACAATCCACCATCTCCGTGTCGAAATCTCCCTCAGTCCCGTTGCTCTTCTTGGACACCATTGCCTAGCCCCCCTAAAAACATTTCGCAGCACACCCATCCCTCCCCAAAAAACAAAAAAAAGAACTGTGACCATCAACCAGACCCATACCTGCAACCCATGACCACCTCAAGCACAAAATCAAACCTGACCCAAATTTGTTAAACCTCTTTCTAATAGCATGGTCTGGTGTGCTGGTTTGGGAATCTTGCCTTCAAATATGGTGATTTCATTTTGAGATGAGACATTAGTTTTGAAGGTATAAATTTGTTGGGTTATGTCTGCAATTGAAGTTCATATTGTGATTTTCATACTGATTCTTGCTTGGGATGGACTTTGCTTGTGTCGGTACGTTTAATCCTCCACCATATCTCAACGCAAGTCGGCCATGAATTCAGGTTCCAACTCCATATGAAACAAACCCATATCTGGGTTTTCGGCAGACTTTTGAGATTATAAGACCATCTCCAACCCAATGGGTGAAAACTCAAATTTTGAGTTTTGAGTCCAAAATTCATCTCCAACCCATGTATTTTCAGGGGTGGAAATTTGAGATGGGTGGAATTTTGGGTGGAATTCCAGTCTGGGTTTTGCCTGGACTGGAAATTTTTTGTGGACCCCAACTCATGCTGCACAGCCCATATGAAGAGGAAAAATGGAGTGGGCCCTACGCGGAAGAAAGTTGCAGCTCTCCCTTTGCTTTTGCATGACAAGTGGCAGCTCACCATTTGTAGTTATTGTTTCTTTCATTTTTTTTATTTATTAAACTTGCAACTTAAAGTTGCTCTGTTTGGAGTAAAAAAAAAATTTATGTTTTGAATTTTGAATTTTTTTAGGTTAAAATGTTTAGAAAATTAAATCACGAATGTTGAAATAAAAATAATATCAAGAAAAATTAATGGCAAAAAAAAATTGAAGGTTAACTATTTTTAAACAATTTAGATAAAGTAGTAGACTCAAATTATGAGTCTACAAGGTTGGAGGAAAAAACAATTTGAGTCCTAAAAATACATGAATAGTTGTATTTTAAAGGGTAAAAATTTGAGTTTAGCCTCAACATGGTTGGAGATGGTCTAAGAGGGGGTAGGACTGCTTTCATGGTTCATTTCCTCTGTTGTGAATCTTTGAATCTGAGCTGCTGGGTGTGTTTAGTTTAATTATTTTGTGTTTGACTAGGTTTCATTGATTGAAAGGGCAAATTCCAAAGTTGTTAAAGATGCTGTTGGAGATGCTCTAAGGTGAGCCTTCAAGTAATTGATGAAAAAAAGGCAAAGTTACTTTTGGCTTTTCACAAGTGCTTTTAGCTTAGTGGGGTTATCTGATAAAAAAAATTATAATATCTAGTATGAGAACAACCATATCCACCAGCCTTGCCACCATATTCTGGAGAAAGATTAGCGATTAAAAACTAATTAATCCGTCAAAAGGGGTAAATTATTAGTCTTTTGTCTTTGGACAAGTTATGGTGAAATAAGATGGAGCTGGTCACCAATCGAATCTGAAAGATCCCTTCCACCGCTTCAAAAGTCTAGGTCTACACAATGAAATAACAAAGAATCTACATCAATTAATAGAAAAACTGAGTAAGTGGTTAGAAATAAACTTGAAATGCATGTTAACTTTATGGGGTCGAAAAAGGCTTACATCAATATATATAGAGTTGATAATGATAGTAAATATGGACTTAGTCAAGTTTGTTAGAACAGATGTGCTTCCTACTATGCACCTGAGTTCGAATCCTCATCCTCGTAATTTAGATTAATTTAAAATAGATTATCGCTCGTATAAAATTAAAAAAACAACCGTTTATGATATGTTCAATTTGATTGCATGTATACGTAGTGGAAAGAAAAGTATATACGTAGAAGGATCAGCCAACAAAAGCTCATACTTTCAATAATTACTCATTTTCATATCATAGAAACACATTGTTGGTGTTATTATTTGTGTTTAATCATTCATGGTAAGTCTCTCTCTCCCTCATTCATATGTGGGTCAAGTTCATAGAACACAATGATGTATCTGTTTTAATTTTGTTGAGAACAGAAAAGGTTTTCTTTTTTTCTTTTTTTGATGTGGTGTTATAGTTTTTTTAGCTCTTTAGATGGTTAATTGTTTTAATCCAAATATAATAAATTCGCCCATGATGAGTTTTATTTGGAAAACACTTTGCAAAATGGTGGTGGTTTTTTTTTAACCTCAATTGCAGTCTGGATTTTGAATTTCGTTTGGGATTGCTTCTCTAGAAGCACTTTTGTTCACAAGTGCTTCTACTAAAAGTGTTTTAATTATCAAAACGTTTATTTTCTTAAGAAACCAAGTACTTCTTGGAAAAGCATTTGGGAGTGCTTTTATAAAGTGCTTTTATGACCCAGAAGTACTATTAAAAACGCTTTTAGTTGTCATAAAAAGATTTAAGCCATTCAAGAAGCAGATAACAACATAACACACTTCATTAATCTTGTACGTATCTGCCTTAAATGGCATAAGGCGTTGCTCACTACTTAAAAATTCTTGAATCTTGCTATATTCATAAATAGAAAATAGTAGACCAGTTAGGCAATGCATGTTTATTTATTTATTTAAGTTTTTCCTTGAAGTAGAAAGACTGCCTTTGTTTCATTAATTTATTTTATTTTAGGAAAGCCCCCTATAGCCACTAGCTAGCTAGCTATTTATAAAAGCGCTCAGTGGCAAGCTTACTTGCAACTCTATACATGGAGAGCAGAGAGCAGCGCCACCCAGTCTACCCAACTGGCTTTGCGGTTGGGAGAGCTAGCAACAAAGTCTCGAAATGGGGTCAGATAGAGAGAACAAAAACGAAAAAAAAGAGGTGCGTGAATGTTCTCATAATTCTCTTCTTTGTATTTTTTTCGGCGTCTGCTTGCTTACAATTCTTCCCAGCTTAACTGAATAATGGTGGATCATATTTGGTTAATTTTAGCAGTAACTGCACATAAATTCATTTATAATAGTGGCATATATTGTAAATTCCTTAAAAATTATGGACATACTAGTTGCTTACTTGGTGATCGAGTCAACTGCAATTGAAAAGGAAGAGCATGTGGACTACATCCATTACATCTTGATAAAAATGAACCTGTATCTAAGAAGTTACAAAAAATTGTGTAGGTTAACGCAAGGATTCATTTCCTCAATGCCATGGCATACCATCTTTGCATTTCTGAATCCACTGCTAATCAACATCCTTCAGGTGAAATGTCAAGGCTCAACCAAGTCTCCATTCGACACACACCGAGGAGTCATGTGGATATTTTTGTTGGCAACGTTAGTCTACTGCTTTGCATTTGCAGCAAACATGAAATCACGCTGTAATTGCTCTACAGTCTACTCTCGAATCTCTGGCCATTTTGCTCTTCTCAGTGGATCTCTTTCCTCGGTCTCGTTGTTCTCCATCTTTCTTCCAAGGTTTCCTAATGAGCAGCTTGTTTTCTTCTTGTGGATCATCATGCCTTTGATTGTTGCAAGAAAGTGGATCTGTCGAGCGTGCCAAAAGCTTTGCAAATCGACTTCGAAGGCAACCCACTTATTAGTTCACTGCATTTGTCGTGGATTCTTCGGAAGAAAGTTGATGGAGCAGCCACAATTGCCGGTGTAGCCCTAGCCTTGGCCTTCTTCGATGAGGTGGGTGGGAACATATCTGCCAATAAGCTTTGTGCGTGTAAAATGGTTTAGAGTTAACTTTGTTAAATTAATCTTAAGGGTAACTACTGTTTAGAAACATTCTAGCTTCATGTGAAATATATAGTCTAAATTAATCTTGTTTTCATATATACCATCTTCTTTAGGATTGTATCTGGTGTATATGCCGTTTGCATTCAATTACATATGTTCTAAATAATACATATAATGACATAAATACATATCTTACGTTATTTATGTAAAATAATTTATAAATAAAAAAATAATATAAATATAAATGAATGTAATACAAAAGTCAAATGACTTAGATCAACAACACAAATATGTGAACTTTGTTTTTAGTTTTGGATTTATCTCAAATTTTCTATAAATATGTAGAAAGAAGAAAAAGCGAGGTCATGAGAAAGAGAAAATGAGTGATAAGTGAGTAATAAGTGTACGTACGTACTAACTTATATTGACCTTAGTCCTAAAATAAAGTAGTACAGCGACGGAGTAAGAGGCTTTGAATACCAATTGATGTAGTACAGCCCGTATGTATTAGATTGAGCACTTAAACAATAGAACAGAGAAGAATATACGAGATCGAAGAGAAGAAAATATAGATTGAAAGGACAAAAGAAAGAGCATAACAATAGAACAAGAAGAATATCAGAGATGGAGGAGAAGTAAATATAGATAGAAGGGACCAAAAAAAGACATAAATCAGAGAGTTTTAGAAAAGGTTTACTCAATGTTCAAATCTAAATATTAAAGAACTACATTGGGGCATTTATAGCAAACTAAAACCTAGACATAAGACCATCTCCAACCATTTGGGTGGAAATCCAAATTTCAAGTTTTGAGTCCAAAATTCTTCTACAACCCATGTATTTTGGGGGGTAGAAATTTGAGAAATGTGAAATTTGGGGTGGAATTCCAGTCCAAGTTTTGCCTGGATTGGTAATTTGTGTGGAGCCCAAAGCTCTGTTTTGTAGTCCATGTGAAGAGGAAAAAGAGGTGGGCCCTGTATGACAACAAAACTGTCAGGCCAACATCCCTTTTGAGCGACACATGGAAGCTTCAGGAGAGAGAGACATTGGAAACCAACGACTGAATTTCAAAAGCTGGGTGGGTTTTTTTTTTTTTTTTTTTTTTAATATTGCAAAAGCTACTCGTTTTTATTTTTAAGTGAAATTCTATTATGCTTTGAAATTTTAACTTTTTTAGGTTAAAATATTCACAAAATTAAATCACAAATGTTGAAACAAAAATAATGTCAAGAAAAATTAACGACAAAAAAATAATAATACATGAATAGTTGTATTTTGGAGGGTGAAAATTTGAGTTTAGCCTCAATATGGTTGGAGATGGTCTAAAAGGATAAAAATTGCTTGCTAAAACAGAAATCCTAACCCAAATAAAATAGGAAACTTAAAACTAGAAATATGGAAATCTGGAAAAGTAGAAATCCTACTAGAAATTGGAAAACTAGAGAATCTAGGAAACTAACAAATACATTAGGAAACTAATAAATTTAGATCCTACACGTCCTGCATCACCAATATATCTGTCAATTTTTGAAGGTCATGTGCATTAGTCTAAGCATAAGAATCCCTTACGGATCAATATATAATTTGCAAGCAGATGTTGGGGTGTATTCAATTGAGATTTTAAAAAAAATATTTAGGGATTAAAAATCCAGTGGATTTAATCATAATGTAATGACTTATAGGATTTTATTGATGGATTTGTATAATAAGGATTTTTAACTTTTGGATTTTAAAAGATTATATGATAAGATTTTATAAGATTTGAAAGTACCACATAGATTTATATCATAGAATTTATTTTTGAGCCTGACTAAATAAGGCTATAGCCCAAACCAAATTTTGTAAGTTTTTGAAATACCTAGCCCAAACCCAAAGTTGTTATGCATAAGCGTAGACATCTTGTTATATTACTTCTTAAACCACTTCATTCGGCTCAAGTAATGATTATAAGTTTTTAGAAACCTAATTTTCGCATTAAGACGAGGAAGTATCACTCTTTCTACATTTTGCTTGCTAAGTGACCCATTAACATCACACAATCCACTATTGATAACATCCACCAAGAGGTGCAACAACTCATTGATATCATCCATGGTCCAAGATTCATAGTTCTCAAGAACTTTGCCCTTTCCGTGTTATTGATTTCCCATTTAAATTACTACTACAACACATGTGAGAAACAAAAGAAAATTGAAAGGTCGGCTCTGCATAACTTCCAGCAAGTAATAAAACCTCTAATTGAAAATTTCAGCAAGTAAGTAGGCTCCACCAAAAGCACAAAAGAACAAAAAAATAACAAAAACACAAAAGAAAAAGTAGTGTACATAACTTTGAGCAAGTAATAAAACCTCTAATTGAAAATATTGACAAATAAGTAAGTTTTGAAAAGTATTGTACAATAAAAAACATTAAAAACACAAAAGTTTAAAAAAAAAAAAAAAACCATGAATTGATTGTACTTACAATTTATAGCAAGTAGGCTCTAGCCATTGAAATATCTGCTAGGATCCCGCAATTGAAATATCGTCTGCAAGTAGACTTCAGCAATTGAAAACATCGACCGCAAGTAATTGACATGACATCAATACAACACAAGTACAAGGGAACGTTATCATCATTCATAAACTACAAACAAGATAGAAGATTCACAGTGAAGGAAGAAGAAAGTACCTTGTTCATATAGAGCTCACGACTGCACGTCTGTTCATCTTCTCCATTAGAGGGAAAAAAAAAAAATCTCACATGAAAAAGTCTAATGGGTTAGGGTGGGATTTGAAATAGGATTTGGTATTTATACATCCAACTAAAAAGTCTCATACAATTCCATATTTTAAAAAATCTTTTGAAATTAGCAAGTTTTTGAATACCATAATATTTTTTGTTATTTGTTTAAAGTCTTGATTGAATACTACTAAATTTGGACACTTTCTTTTAAAAATCCTAATAGTCTTAATGAAATCACAAGACTTGTTTAGATTATTTAAAAGTCTTTATTGAATACCACAAGACTTATTTATCATAAAATAATCTTTTAAAATCTAAATTGAACAGCTCAAGGGTAGTTGTACCACAACTTGCAAAGTTCATGTCACCAAATCTTCTCAATTTAGGGATGCAAGATTTACAACAGTGAACTGGGCATCGAAATGCCCCTTCTAACATGGCAAGAACACCCAACCAAAGTGACTAAACGGGATATTTTGTAACACCATCTAGACCCAACCTGTTCATACTAAGTTACCAACCATCATCAAGCACCACTCTTTTTTTCGGGGGTTAAATTTAAGATCAAACTTTTAGCAAAGACCCTCTGGTCTGGTTCATTAGAGAGTAACAAAATCTCATACAACTCAGGAGCTTAACATTCCCACAAGAAGGTGTACTCAGATTTAAATTGCCAAGCCAACAGCAGGACCCTATGAGCAAAACCCAATTTTAATTCAAAGATGCAATCTTTCACAGAACCATTCAATTAGAAAGAAACCCTTTTGTTACAAACTGATTGTCATTCAAGTACTCAAGTTTTCTCTTTAAAAAAATTGATTTATTACATTTTATTCATTCCCCACATTTTCCCAGCAAGCAAATAGAACACAAAACAAACATGAAGGGAGAAACAGCGAAACAGAGAAATGAAAATTAGGGGTCAAAATTACGTTTACCTGATTGAGGATAGTCCTTTTCCTTCAGCCAATCTGAGAATCAATCGCACGGTCTACGACGTCGTCGGAAAACGTACAGCGTTGCAAAACACTATTTGTTTCCTTCCTTTCCCAATTTTTTTTCTCTGATTTTGATTATGACCATTTTCAAGGACTTCTAATATCATGTTAGATTAGGATGGTCTCCGTAGGCATGATTTTGTTGTTGAAAATAATATATAAAAATTGACCAATAGTGTATATCAAACTTGGACTTATCCAAGGATTAATAAAATCTTGAGTATTCAATAATTGCAAAAGGATTAAGGCATAACTCACATAGTCATCATACATGTTTACACTAAGAAATACTAACGTGGTTAGTGGGGTATAACTCAATTGGTTGACCTTTTCCACCTTCATCTCAATGAAGTCTTCTACCTCTCAGTGAATATTTGTGCAAACCACCCTCCCCCAATCACTTGTACTATTAAAAAAAAATTATAACGTGTACTAATTGACAAATATGTAAGTCCTCAAATGTTCCAAGCATCAACAAGTTTTAATGATCTCATATCTCATTCTTAAATTAGGTATGTTAAATAAAATACTTAAAACACTTTGCTTTGCCTAATAATTCTATCAATTGTCCAATCTTTTTCTTTGGATGCCAATTTCTTATAAGACTTTTTTTTCTGGGTAAATTAGGAGATTAATCTGTAAGAGGGGTAAATCAAGAAACAAAGACACACAACAAAAAGAAGCAAGAAAAATAATAAAATAAGCTAAATTTGATATAGTTTCTTTCTGAATTACAATACTTGCATTTTTTTTTTTTTTAGTACAAACGATAGTCTAAATTAAAGGGGATGAGGATTTCACAGACACATTCACAACTATGGTGCCATAGGGATTCAAACCTGAAACCTTTAGTTTGCAAGTTAAGGCCTTTTTCTACTAGACTAGACCCCGTTGGCACAATACTTGCATCTATATAAACTAATAAAAGAATTGCATAATAATAAAAAAATAAAATATAATCCGAGCTACATATGAATTGAAATGTTCAGGAGAGACGAAGCCCCTTTGGTCTTGGTGGCACTTTGAAGCCAGAGTTGATGTCTCTGCAGTTGTAAATAGGAGTGATCAAAGAATCAAACACTTTACTCTTGCAAACAAGGCACTCCCTTTGAGCGCTGTAGATATTCAACCAACTGTACAAACAAGGCCAGCAATATAAATGCCCACATGAAGTCACAACTGGCTCCCTTGCCACTTTCATGCACATGTTGCAGTCAAAGTATAATACAGATCTTGGTGGGGACAATGGCACTGCCAAATAGCCCTCACCATAATCACCATCTAGATGAAGGGTTGGATCTTGATCATCATCTTGATGAACGGTTGGATCTTGATCATGACCATCCAGAGACAGAGTATAATAATGATCACTTGTGAAGCTTTCAAACTCATGTTGATCAATTTCATCTTGCACAAGCAGTGAGAAAACACTATCATCATCATCATCATCATCATCATCATCTTCCTCCTCCTCCTCATCATCATCATCCTCCTCCTCCTCATCATCATCATCCTCATCATAACCATCATCATAATCCTCATCACCATCACCATCATTATGATAACAATAACCAACCTCCTCCTGCTCCTCCTCATCATCATCATCATCATAATCATGATTATCCATATGTTCGTACCATTCGTGTGCTGGTTTTGTGCTGTGGAAAATCTCGTGGGGCAACATGAAACGCATTGGTGGCTTAAGTGGTGCCCTAATTTCATTGCTGGAAGCCATGCCCATGAATATAGAAACAAAGGAACGCAAAAAATTGAACACTAATTAAGAACGCTTATTAGAAGAACGAATTCAACAACAAGAGAAATAGTAGCTATAACAATTGGGGTTTCTATTCTAAAGAGACCTATATATATAGGGGAGAGACTTCAGAATTTAAACCAAATACAATTAAGATTAGGACTAGGACTGGGACTTCTTGGTTTACAAGTTTCCAAATCCGACTGACAAGTGAGACAATATAATATATATATATATATAAGAATAATAGAAACGTGTATATAACAGATAATTAAACCTAATCCTAGGCCTACTAGGATTAGTAGTTGGACTTAGTTGATAAGATTCCAAATCCAACTTGATGAGTGAAAAAAAAAATTACATCCTAATTAGTGTAGGAAAACAATCCTTGTACAATTAGGACACATTATTGCTTTCTATAAATACCTCATTTGAAGATTAATACAACATACAAAAGTTGCTATACTTTTAGCATAAACACTCAAGACAGAAAATTGTTGAAGAAAGAATGGGGAAGAGAAAGTCGTCGTCAAGGGCAAAGCATGTAGCTAAGAAGCCAAGGGAGAAGCTTGATACAGTATTCCTTGCCCCTTCTGCAACCACGGGAGCAGCATTGAATGCGACATTGACATGAAGAACATGATTGGGGAGGCTTTCTGCAGCGTTTGCCAAGAGAGTTATAGCACAACCATCACAGCTTTGACTGAACCCATAGACGTCTACACTGAATGGATAGACGAATGTGAGCGAGTCAACACCATGTTGCTCATGATTGTGATTCGTGCTTAGGAAGCAGATAGGGGTTTTTATTATGGTCTGTCTGTAAAACTCCATATCTTTTAACTTGTTGATGCCATTATAAATTTATAATTTTGAGACATCGCTGAAGGATGGACCTAGAGCCTAGAAGATAACCATTGTTTTGATATAAAAACAATATCTGAGAGAATTAATTGCTAGTTTTGTGATTCGAATGGAATGGTTTGTTGAAACTGGATTAAGAGGACTAGGATATCTTGGTCCACAAGTTTCCAAATCCTACAAGTGACAACCTACATTTTTAAAATAAATAAATAAGAAGAAAAAGAATACTATATATATATCTGTCTGATTTGGGCTAATTAAGATACAGTTGGATTTGGGCCTTTAACAAGTGAAAATTCCAAGCTCTTGCATATATGTCCTTCTAAGTTATACTACTTAATTACACTGCAAGGTGACCCCGTCAAAAACTAGAAGAAAAGGGGAAGTTTAAAATTGCTTTTGGCTTTTCACAAGTGCTTTTAGCTTTGAATTCTAAATTGTGGAGGGCCCAAATTTGGCCAGAAATCTAGTGGGGGGTTGTTTTTTTTTTTTTTTTTTTGGAGAAATAATCTAGTGGAGTTTGTCTGATACAAAATAATATATAGTGTGAGAAGAACCTTAATCATCAGCTTTGCCATCATATTCTAGAGAAAGATTGCAATTAAATTATAAAAGCCGTACAATTGGGCTCAAAACTAACTAATCCGTCAAAAGGGATAAATAATGCTTGATATTCTAATGACCATGTTTGAACGCGTGCACTTAAAACACTAGCTAATTTGGGCAACTAATTTAATATTTTATGACATTTTTACAGTCTTTCTGCTTTGAAAAAGTTGTAGTCAAATAAGATAGTCGAGCTGGTCACCAGTCCCAATCTACAAGAAATTATATCTACCATTATAGTGCTTTTTTGAACAAGATTGATCCCTCCACCGCTTCAAAAGTCTAGGTCTATGATAAATGTTGCTATCTACACCAGTGTTTCCAGAGGGCTTTCTTATACAGATATAGAATTAAATTACACATAGAGTGGTTGTTTGATAACCATTTCATTTTAAGTTTTTTGAAAAACTGAAAACATGTTTGGTAACAAATTTTTTTTTTTAGTTTTCACAAAAGTGAAATCCAGTTTTCAAAATCACCCTCTGTTTTTGCCTTTTTCTTTGAGAACCTTTCTTATTGAGAGGAGCTAAACTCACACACACTACACAGATGCTAGGACTCGAACCCAGGACCTTGCTCGAGGGCGCGATTACTCTAAATTACTACACTAGTGGGTCCTTTGCAAATCACCCTTATTTTTTAAAAACAACTTGAAAGTGTTTTCGAGCCTGTTTGATAATTATTTCATTTTTCACCTTTTAGAAACTAAAAAATTGTTTGGTAACTAATTTCAATTTTCAAAAAAAGTGAAAACTGAAAACTGAACAAAAGTTGTTTGATAACTATTTTCAATTTTATGTTGAACTTGAAAATTGCATTTTTTGGGGGACAAATTGAAAATTTGAGATCATAGAATGAAAGTGCATATTACAAATTTGTAGTATTTTTGGTGAATTGTTTGGAATT